ACGCACGTATGTTCACGCGTACTTGCATGCGTGTATATGTGTAAGCGCTTGTGTGGATTGTACGGGCGAATGGCGTATATATAGCTTGCGGAGCTTTCTTGTGATATATATATGTAGCGTTGATGGATGTGACATAAGCCTTCGGGCTGACGCCATATATGCGAACGTACACACACACACAAACACATACGTATACACAAACTTCGACTCTGCTGCATTATGTTGCCGAGCGCGAGAGTTTAGATAAGCATCGCGGCGCCTACTGCGTTATACGCTTGGCTGCTATACACGTACATGCACCGCACTGCAGTAGCATAACACGTATGTGATACACACGCGAGTCCAGTATATTTTCGGATAGATACATAAAGAAAGCGTAAAAAGGATTACTTTTAGATTAGCATCGCTCGATATAAGCGTGTACCACTGTCGCGCCAGGTCATAAGAGAGAGAGAGAGAGAGAGAGAGGGGGAACGAATTATAAACGACCGATTATACCCAGAGCGCAAGCTCGCAAGCTCGATACAGATATCGACGCGTACATCCGATTCTGTAATTATTTATACATTAAAATTTGGCACGAAACGTCAGCCAGACGATATAATTAACACTTTTAATTGCCGACGCTATATAATTTCGATGCATAAATTCATGAAGCGATCGGTACCCGTACGTGGTGGTGTACGTGTTGCGTATCCGTGCGTTGTGCGCGCAGCTGATAACGCCGCGGCAATGCTCGATGCGAATGGAAAATTCGCCGAATTATCGAACTGCGGGCCACTTATGCATATCCGATGTGGTATTTTTAACGAGCGAATATTTTTCGAATGAAACGTTTTTATGAAAAAATTTCGGGTGAATTATTGTACAATACGCGATTGGAGATACTTACACAATTGCGTGAACATATTTTTTACTGCTGCGCTTGTACGAATTTTGTAAGCAATATTATACGTACGTAATACAGTCTCTTCGAGGTATTAGGCTAGCCTTTTTTTCTACTCAATTTTGTTCAATTCAAAAATTGTCATCGACCTCGTGGATTTGCATTTTAATAAGAAATTATCGGCTTAGATTTTAAAATGTATAATGTTAAATGGATTATGGAAAGGCGCGATGAACTCATCGCGATGCTCGCTGAAAAAAAAAACTAAAATTATCCAGTCTGAGTTCAACGTAAAATCGAACTTCGAAATATTCAAGTTGAATACATCGCGTTAATGTATAAAAAATATACATTTACAATTTACATGCATATTTTTAATACCATGCAAAGTTGCAAAATTTGTCGCAGTTCATGCTCCGCGCGTATAAATCAAAAGTCGCGATCCGCAGCGTTATTATTGCAGCCACGTCCATTTATCCATCACGAAAATTAACACGTGCACACTTACACAAGTACATTACATTAAAGCAGCGTAAGTAATGAAAGTAATTTTTTCCTACGCTCCGGGGCCCTTACGCTCCAATAATTCCATTTGAATATCATTACACCTGCGTGGTGTATATACAATGGCTTTACACCAGTCCCGCATGCATATAAAGTTATCCTGAATTCTGCCGCACATTTGGCTGTGTGTGTGCGCGGAAAACTGCGGCGTATCGCGCGATGCGCGCATAAACACACACACGTGCGTGTTACACCGTGTGCGGTACCTGAATAATTAGTATATTTATCAAAGGTAGAGGTTTTTTATTGCTACCCTTTATCTCCGAGCAGAGGTTAATAGCCATTTTTCATCGCGAGGCAGGACTTTCTCTGCGGGTATAAATATTCGAGAATAAAACTATGAAATCGACGCGAATGTCGCCGGCGCGACTGTTCGAGCTTACGCGAAGGCTGCCCAATGCGAGTATATAGTACCGCCGCATCGACGCACCATGATCGGCTCAGCTTTGTCTCTCTCTCTCCTCTATTTCTCTCTCGTTTCGACAGTCGCATGCGATTCGGTGTAATATATCCTCTTTTAGATATTTGTTGTATACGATTTGTGAGTACACGTGCACTGTATGCATGTTTATAGCGTGCGGCAGTTTCGCAGAGATTTTGCGCGCGCTCGCCCCATACACGCGGAAAATACGCAACTCGGCGCATTTTAGTGGAATTGGAATCTACGAGAGCTTATATAGCTCTTTCTCTCTCTCTCGCTTGCACTGCCTCTGATCGGAATGGACTGTTTTAGGATTTATCTCGTGGCCGCCGCGCGTGGGAGTATATCGCATACGAATTTATCGAGATATCTCGTCGCGCATATAATATGTACATATGATTGGTTATAAATAGTGATTTTTTCACAATAATATATGCTCTGTGCGTGGATTTTTTACTCGTTTTGTTTTACTTTTTACATTACCTATTGGAGCTTTTGATCGGGTGAAAAGCTCTTCGATTAAAATCTACGAAATTATTGCGTCGAAATTATACGGTTATTAAATACAATAATACCGAAATCAACGCAGCGCGAAGCACGTCGATATAAAAGCAAATTTCAGAATATATGTGTACAAACAAAAGCCGTCAGACGAGCGCACGAACGAACGAACGAACGGACCGATAACGATGGAATAAAAATCTTTAATACGCTCGCGTGCTCGGGGGTCGGGGTGCAGGTCGGAGCGCGCGGGGGGCGGCGAAACATAATTTTCCAGTCGTCGAGCTCGATGTATGACATAATATAGAGCGTCGTATAAAAGTAACTACAGCCTCGACAATTCATGAGATCTAATAACGTTCGCCTGGTCGCTCATGTCGGCCGCGCGCGCACCATTCCTATTGCTTAGCTCGGCGCGCAAGCTCGCGCTACGGCGCTAGTAGCGGCAGCAGACGAGAGCTTAAAAATATTTACTACCTACCTACCCGACACGACGCCGCTTTTAAAAGATGAAAGGAAAATTCGCTCGTCGCGCGCGTACATACACACACACACACACACCACGTAGAGAAGCACGTTGACGACGACGACGACGACGAGCTGGAGAAAAGGAGGACGCGAGGAGCTCGCGGGAGGGAATTTACGAGACTTTGTCGCTATAGCTATTATAAACTCCTGAGTCGTAAACACATCTAGCCCCGGTTCTCTTTCTTTCTCTCTTCGTATAAGGCAATATCGGCAGTAGCAGCAGCAGCAGCAGCAGCAGCCGAGTGCTTATTATCCGTCTACGTTTGCAGGAATGTCTAATAACCGCATTCTCTGACCCACTTGTCACATACACATATATGGGGCAAATTTCCTGAAGTGTCCTAGCGCTCTGCCGCACGGCATTTTTTGGCCGAATCACTCAATTTCTAACTCGCTGTAAAAGTATCAAAACGCCCCTCAAAAAAATAACTAACTAATGATTTCGATAGGAAATTTCCTCAGCTTTCCGATGGTGAGGTCCAATTTCCTGGAATTTTCCATTTTCACCCGGAAAATTGTCATTAAACATTCAGAGCTCAATATCTCGAAAAACGCCACTTTTTTTGCTTTTTTTATTGTTTCAATCGAAAGATGAGGTCTTTTTACATCGGATATGGTAGTTTTCAGAGTGTATTTTTGATGAAAACTAAGGAAAATACGAGAGGTTTTAGTTAGCGCTCGGCTGCTCGGCGCGATTTTCAGCCTTGCGCGGCTCGCTATAACTTGTAACTCGCTCTTATGACATAGTGATTTGGCTGGAAAAATAAATAAACATATGTTTTCGATAGGAAATTTTCTCAGCTTTCTCATGGTGTAGTCAGATTTTCCGATAATTTACATTTTCATTAGAAAAAGTAGAAAATAAACCTTCAAGTCCATTTTTTCTGGTGAAAATGTAAATTATTGGAAAATCCAACTGCACCATGAGAAAGCTGAGAAAATTTCCTATCGACAACCTATGTTTTTTTATTTTTCCAGCCAAATCACTATGTCATAAGAGCGAGTTACAAGTTATAGCGAGCCGCGCAAGGCTGAAAATCGCGCCGAGCGGCCGAGCGCTAACTAAAACCTCCCATATTTTCCTTACTTTTCATCAAAAATACACTCTGAAAACTACCATATCCGATGTAAAAAGACCTCATCTTTCGATTGAAACAATAAAAAAAGCAAAAAAAGTGGCGTTTTTCGAGATATTGAGCTCTGAATGTTTAATGACAATTTTCCGGGTGAAAATGGAAAATTCCAGGAAATTGGACCTCACCATCGGAAAGCTGAGGAAATTTCCTATCGAAATCATTAGTTAGTTATTTTTTTGAGGGGCGTTTTGATACTTTTACAGCGAGTTAGAAATTGAGTGGTTCGGCCAAAAAATGCCGTGCGGCAGAGCGCTAGGACACTTCAGGAAATTTGCCCCATATCTACATGTATATGCATCGTTGTGCTGAATTTTAAAATTATCGGGTATTGTTTTCTACCCCTCGGCTGTGCGCGGTCTTTCTTATTTTTTTTGTCTCCTCGCGGCTTGCGTACAATGGGAGGCTCTCCCTACATTAACAGTCGAAAAAAATTCGAGCTTTTGTCCAATGTAAATTTGACCAATGTTCGCCAACCTCTTAGACTTTTCATCCATTGTTCTTATCGTAAACTACTTCGACCATTACGATAATTCGAAAATACTCAGGATATTCGAAATACTCAGGTATAAACAGAAGCGAAGCTAAATATGTACAATAAAAGTGAGCTTAAGTACGATTATTTTCATTTTGTCACTTATAGATTTACAGATTCAAGTGCTCGACATCTATTGGCGAAGACTGGTATTAATTTACATTGAATTTCTGAAAATTGTTCGCAAGTAATAAATCTCTATTAATGAATTAATTAAGTCTTTTTTTTTTTATTTTTTCATTAAAATTAATGAATTTTGTTGCATTTTGATACAATTTTTAGTCTATTAAAAAAAATTAATCAGCTCTGATAATTTTCAACAAAATTTTCTTTTAAAATATCTTGAATAAATTTCACAATTGTTTAATTTAATTTTTACATCTGATTTTACATAAAAAATACATTTATACAATTTATGGTTTTCTTTAACAGTGTATACGGACATATCAATTACCTAATGACTTTGGTTCGGTCACGATCCTGTTGAGTGGCACATATAGGCCGGGTGCGCTTGACAACGTGCGGCGCAGTCGAAGCAGTTTCTCTCCGGTGCAAGAGTCATTAGTTCGCGGCTAGGAAGACTGTCAGCAGGTAAAAACCATCCAATATATATAAGCGCGGCAAGCCTGCGTCTTTCTCGCCCGCACTCTCATTGCTAAATTATACGACATCGGTTACCGAGCGGAGCAGTTTAGCTCGTCGCGCGTGTCTTGTCCTCGCCGTACTCGACATCCGAGTCCCAGAGCTGGCTCAGAAATTGCGATTACGCATCTTACATGAGACTCTTGTCACGAAGATCGTGCATCGTTCGAATTAATTATTATGCGCGCCCTCTCATAGTCACGTAGAAACAAAGGGCGAGCGTCAATCAAGTTCTTACACGTTTTTTCAATTATTTGGGAAGGTTCGTTACATTTACATTGGGTGTTACATTTTCTTGACGACGTTTTAGTATTTTTATTCATTTTTCGACTCTTTAGTGCTGCCAACGCGTTAAACTGAATCTTTCTTGACTGGGTGCGATATCGTAATTATATTGAGGGCGTAGGAAAAAGTTTGCAACAAAAAAACTTCACTTTCCCTGAGCCTGACAAATGTCATCATTTATATGTTCTTCCATTATCTCTTCTCTATGTGAGCAATTCTATCATTTATATGCCAAATTTTCTAGTAAAAGTGAATACAATATTTTTTTAAATTTGACGCTTATAAATAATATTAGTTAATGTACAGGCAATCCCCGCTATTCGCTGTTAATTCGTTCCCGCAAAACACCGCGAATACCGAAACCGCGAATACCGAAACAGAATCCCCGTTATTGCGGATAGACCTAATAGTTGACTCATTAACCTCGAATCTACGTGCAATTATGGCAATTTTTCTCCTTCTTTTATTAGCTCCAAAATCTTGAGCTTTTGACCCAAATCCATCACAGCTTTATTAAAATTATTACTAAACAACCGTGAAGTAAACCGCGAATAAGCAAATCCGACTCCCGAATAGCGAAACAATGGCTCAATTAAAGAACCGCGAATAAGCGAAACCGCGAATACTGAGTACCGCGAATAGCGGGGATTGCCTGTACTCAGATATTTCACGACCCTAGAAAAATGCGTAAACAACCACGATTTTAATAAGTGTTTTTGTTTTGATCATTTCTATGTAAAAAATTTAATTTTTTAACTTACCATTTCCCTCACTCTCTTATCGATTTTTTAACAAACAAATGAAGATACAAACCTGGCACCATTCAAATGGTATCACACATTAAAAATAACGATCTTTTATATTATTAATAACAAAATTATTTTTAAAAAAAATTATAAATTGAAACCTTCCACTTTGCCTTTAAATTGAGTTTAGAGATAATTTTGATCTCAAGTTACAATCATTTAAAATTTAGGGGAAAAGTGAGGTATCCATCAAATTCTGAATTTAAAATTTTTCACTGAAATACAGTGTTTTCAGTGAGTTTTATGTCTTGCTTCTTAAATATTTTCTTTATTTTCATTTTCTGGCATTTCATTTTTTTTAAATTTCATTTCACTTGGTATATTGTTTCTGCCATTTCCATTATAAATTCATCTAGGGTAAACAATCTTCGCAATATCCACAAATTTTAAATGACCTTTATTTGTGATGCTATTTGAATGCCATTTATGCGAGTGGTACCTGGTTTGTCTCTTGATTTTATGTATTAAAAGGTTGAGAAGAGAGTGAGGGCAACGGTTAAAGCAATGTTGAAAAATAAATATTTTAAGAATTAAGATGATAAGAATACCTATCAAAATGTTGATTGTTCACTAATTTTCGAACTTCCGAAAATTTGTCGGGTCAATTGTGGAATTGTTCATATATATGATTCTCTCTCTTTCTCTCTTCCTACTCTTAATCCGCTTTTTTTGTCGATGCAAGCTCGTGCCAGCCGCAGTTACTCACTCGCAGCCGCGCTCGCACACATACATACACAAGCCGTGACGTGCCCATGGAGTACTTCGAGAAGGAGAAAAGGAAAAAATTACCTCGACGCGTCGTGCGTTTTCTGTCTTGCTTTTCTTTTTTTTCTTCAGCATAAATTTCTGTACATACATATTATGCTCGCAAGTACATACGAGCACAAACACGTTGCTTTTTGAATTTTTCACGTGGAAGTAAACAGCGTTGTGTGCGCCATTGTGTGCCGTTGAACCGCACAAGTGTATACGTGTAATATGCGCAAATACCTGAATATATGTATTATTATGGAGGTTTCATTTACGTCATTGTCTTGTCAGGTCTTGCTTCGCTTTCTTTTCTATAATACGCACGGTCGGCGCACGGAGATACGCTATATACGCGTGTATACGTCGTTATGTGCGAGTTATACACGGATATGTACATACGATATAAAAAATGAAGAAAAAAGAAATAGCGCAAGCACAATTTGAAATGTGTGAGCGGTATATATCCTATATTATATGTATCGTGCGCTCCTACTTGCGTGACGGATTGTTTGCATATTTTCTACGGCTTTAGATGCGATGGTAAATAGTTTAGTCTGTACTTAGCTGAATGTATTTATTGTAACAGAAATGATTTTCAACTGCAAGCGTTTATTTTATTCATTGAATTTTCCAAACTTGACGCTTCGTAAAAAAATAAATGTAAATTCCAATTGGCGGAATTACAATTAAAAATTCACTCTGGAATTCCTTTTGATGCAAGCGTGCACCACAATCAACATTTTTGCAATTATTTCAAACGTTAGGAAAAAAAACTTCATTGAGAATATTTTTTAATTCGTGTTTCGCTCTCTACGTTTGGACTTTTAACTCGTGAAAAGTATTCTGAATTATTAAATACTCAATATTAGATTAATAGATTTACAATCGTTGCGTGTTTCAAGAGCTTGTTCATTCCAATCGAATCAACTTGAAAAAAGAGTAGAATAAGATAAACATTGCTTTTGTAAATATCCGCAAAAATCGATAGAAAAAAGTTGTACGCTGCGGGTAAAAAAAATTTCAAACAATTTCAACAATGTCGAAAGTGTATACAAAGCTCTTTTTTTTTATATTTTCCTCCATCTCTCTCTCTCTCTCTCTCTCTCTCTTTTCCTCGTGCACACCGTGTGCATGTGTGTATCGATCTGTCGGACAATAGAGAGCTAGACCAGCTCGCCGAGTTCAAGAGAAAAAGAGAGATATAGCCGAATCAGCATCATCAAAACCCCCCAGTGCCCAGTGAGAATATTTGCGCAGGCTCGGGGACTGCCTTACGAGCTTTTCCCTCTCGATACATTTCTCTTTCTCTCTTTCTGGTGTAAGTTAAATTATCTCGCATAGCTGCAGCTGATTCCGCTACGTACTCGACAGTCGTATAGCAGTCGCTGCAGCAGCTCTCGATCTCGTATGTGTGCTCGCGTGCTACCGAGCTGCGCAGCCTACCACTACCACCGTTGCGACTATCTATACAGGCTCTTAAAAGTAAATGTATAGCCGTTAAGTTAGGTTCGCTGCAACTAATGCGCTCGTGCTGTGCGACGATGCTGCATAGGCCGTTGCTTGGTGCACTGTATAACGATGCGATGCTGCCTCGGCCTTTAATGGCTTATACTGCCGAGTAGTGCGCCGGTATGCTGTAGACCAGAGTGAAACTGTAGCTGTATGTCGCGCAAAGCGCAGACGCATCCGCATAATATATATACGCCGCAGCTATGTGTACACGATTATTGTACGATTATGCCAGCTCCGTCTCGAAATGACATTAGAAAAATGCTATAGCCTGTACAATTTAAGCCAAGTGTCATTGGTGATGATGTTGTTGCTCTTTTGGCAAAAAAATTAACGCGAAGGCTTGCTGAAATTGTCCCGTGATAAATTGAATGTAAATACAATTTGAAAACTCCGACTTCGATGCACTGTACATTGATAAGGATCTTCCTCCTGAACAAGATATTTTCTGTGTGTCAGAAAACCAGTGGCATGGTTGTCCCCGCGTAAAGCTTAAAAATAATTTGAGGCAAGGATTTTCTTCTACCACATCGATAGGGAGAGAAAAGGTTCTTGGGAAATATTGTTTATAATTAAATCAATGTAAGAAAAGTGAAGGAAAAGTTTTTCACAACCTCGAAAAAATTATTAACACTAATTGAAATATTTTATTAATTTTTTATTCATCTAAAGAATGCAGGATGTTTATGTGAAAAATTTTCTTTAATTTTGTAGCATACTCATGTGATTGTATAGAAGTTTTCATTATGTCCAAACGTTTTCAGAAAAAATCCCACGTATTCGGAGTTTGCTCCGATTATGTACTGCATTCATGTGTTTATTAATATAATTCTCACATGAAAATAACTTGTGACAAATGCCACATTCGAAAGATTTGCTCCGATCATGTACTGCATTAATGTGAGATTTGAGGTTACATTTTAATCCAAATGATTTGTGACAAATTTCACATGTGAAGGGTTTACTCCGAATATGTACTGAATTTATGTGAGATTGGAGGTAACTATTGTATCCAAATGATTTGTGACAAATATCACATTTGAAAGGTTTGCTCTGATTATGCACTGTATTAATGTGAGTTTTGAGGTTACTTTTTCGACCAAATGATTTGTAACAAGTGTCACATTCAAAGGGTTTGCTCCGATTATGTACTATATTCACGTGCCGTTTTTGGTGACTTTTCTGTCCAAATGATTGGTGACAAATATCACATTCGAAAGGTTTGTTGCGATCATGTACTATATTCAAGTGAGTTTTGAGGGTCTCCTTGCGACCAAATGATTTGTGGCACATTTCACACTCAAAGGGTTTGCTCCGATTATGTACTCCATTTATGTGAACTTTGAGATGACATGTTTGTCCAAATGATTTCTGACAAATATCACATTCATAGAGTTTTCGTCGAATATGTACTGCATTTATGTGCCTTTTGAGTTTACTCTGGTATCCAAATGATTTGTGACAAATCTTACATTCAAATGGTTTGCTCCGATTATGCACTGTATCAACATGATTCTTGAGGGTAATATTTCTTCCAAATGATTTTTGACAAATTTCACATTCAAAAGGTTTGTTCCGATTATGTACTATATTTATATGAGTCTTGAGATCACCTTTTTTTCCAAATGATTTGTGACAAATGTCACACTCAAAAGGCTTGATACGATCATGAACTGTAACTATATGTTTAGTGAGATTCCTCTTGTATCCAAATGATTTGTGACAAATATCACATTCGAATGATTCGCCACGTTCGTGCAATGAGTTTAAATGAGTATTCACATTGAATTGACAGTTATTATAATAATCGAATCCTTTTTTTATCGAAATTATTCGGTTTTTTTCATTCGAGTAATTCATCTGATCTTCGTTTTCTTTTTTTACAATATATTGACTATTTGAATGGTCAATTTTGCAGATGGATGTTGATAAGGATTTCGTTTCAGGTTTTACATGCCTTGCCTCAAAATCAATGAATATTTTTCCATCGGTCTTTTCCTGTAACGCAAGAACCACATTAATATGATTTGCATAAAATTAAAATTAAATAATACAGTTTTTGATGGAGGAAAATCAGAATATGATTCAAATCATTTAACTTTTTCACCTCGGAAGAGTCCACCGAATCAAAAATACGATTGCTGTCTGCACTTGACCAAACATCATACGATTCTTCCTTTATCCTAAAAAATAATTTACTCAGGCGATTGCTCTAAAAAATATCATGAAATGCACAAAAAAAGTTACCTAATAGAGTCTTGTATGTCTTCCATCACTCGCTCCATGAATTGCAATCACTGTGAATTTTCACTATCCACAATGAAAAAATATTTGAGGTTAACCACCATGAGTAGCCAACACTATACCTCGAACTTATCAATTTGTAAACACTTGCTTTAAGTGAGGAATTCCTCGCCAGGTACTGTACGCACTACTCGTATATAAGCGAGGTAACCTCTGATTGTGATAGCTCCTTGACGATACTTTCCCCCTCCACCATCGACTTACTATACTCAGTAACGTACTGCAAATTATATACAAAGACCCTGGCGTTTTACCATTTGCACACAAAATAGTAATGAAAATTTCATATATGCAGGTGCACCATTGTCTTAAAATTACGTTCAATTTAACTTGTGAAATAGAAATATAACTCTACATTCATACGAATACAGTACATGATGGTATTATATATTTGACATTAAGCACACATTTTGATTAACCATTGAAATATCAGATTATAATAACTTATGCAGTAGCGTACGATTTGAAAAAATACATGATGTACAATAAAATCTTTCTACAGCGGACACTTATAAAAAAAACCGAATTATCTAATGATACATTTTAACATCTTTCTATTGTTCTCAATAGTGGACACTTTTTGAAGTTTTTAGAAAACCATAATAGACAGATTTTACTGTCGATTTTATTTTATTTTACTAAGATGGTCTGAGTATTTCGAGAGTTTGTAAATATAGAAACAAATATAAAAGTCAAAATCTAATTGGATTCAATTCGGCTTTTTACTATCATTCATTAATATATTAAAGTTTGACTGATTTTCTTTCGTAATCACTATCTAATAATTGAAAAAATTATTTCAACTATTTAAAAAAAAAAACAGAAATCGAAAAAAAAATTTAAATCCGAAAAATCGAAAAAATGTTTCTAATGGCAATCAAAAAATAATTGTTTGGATTTTCTACTCATCACAATTGACAATAAATACATTTTAATTTACACAATTCAACGTTTTATTTTCTAGATAATGCTCTGCACTATGCATACGTTACATGTTCACAATATATTCGGAAATTTATCGAGAATTTAATCCACTTTACAAATATATAAACAAAAAAAATTTAAAAACAGATACCACTTTTACAGCCGTTTAATATATAATTAGATAAACAAAATTATTGTACAACACCTAGTACAAAAACTCGCTTTCGAGTATTACAGAGCTTTTGCACCGAGGAAGGAACATAAAATTGGTAATTTATTAAAAAACAGCGATTTATTTAAGTTAGTATTACTTTTGATATTTGATTTTTAACATTAGAATTTCTCGTTGTAGTCGTAAGTTTTTCGGCCACCGGAGCAGCTCTCGCAGTCAACGTTAGCTTTTGAGTTGTAGACGATGGTCGCGCAGTCGATGTACTCCGTTGCTCTTCTTTACTCAAACTTGTATCATCTTCCTCGTTATCATATTTGCTTCCGTTATTTAAAATGCAATCTTCCACTGAATCGGCTTTGTCGCATAGTTTTTTAATATTTTTAGCTAAAATAGCAATAAAGTGTGACAATTGTTAACGATCAAAATTTTATATAATATGTATAAAAAGATGAATACCTGCTTCTATACATATGTTGACTAGATTCATGACTTCTTCTCTATCTTCGCTACCTATACGATCGTTTAGCAAGTTTTCGGTAATTTTTTGCGGGACGAAGACTCCATCCTTAATCTGGTCAGAATAAATTTAACTTTTAATATCAAATTGTCTTATCAAGGACTTAAATTTAACAGGAACTCACTGAGCCTAGTTTCTCATAAGCGCATAATGTCAAGCAAAGTGATTTTGTATCATCAGTTTTTATATAAACTTCTGTAAGATGGTTTGAAAATGTTTAAAAGATTTACTATATTTACACTGGATTAAATTTAATCTTACCTTCGGTTATGCCTTTGTCTGCCATACACGCGGATAATGCCTTTCCATAGTAACTACTATTATCTTCGGCACGAGCCTTAAAAATTTCAATGAAATCAACAATCAAACGTTTTTTCAAGGGTAAATCGAGAATACTCTCTACTTACGATCGTAAAAAAAAGAGCCAAAAAAAGTGATATCCTCATCGCGATGAGATTCAGTCGTAGAATTCACCTTGATAAACGCGTGCGGTGTACATCCGACTATATTGGCAACTGCGTGCTGCAGCCTTACAGATTCCACGCGAGTGTGTGTACGTGCGCTCTAGCCTATGAATATGATCATATAGCCAGCAATTTGAATGTAATTTGAAGAACCAGTTATTGCCACTTAGGAAAAAGTCATGCTTCATCCTTACCGCGCGTTCAAACTGGTTTTCCTCGTGACGGAAATAGAAAGAATAATTTGTAATCTTTAATCAAATGATTGAACAAACGAATAACAGAATTGATATTTTTTTTTAAAGGGCTGCATTCTTTTTAATATGGTATTATTTACTGTTGAGTTAGTGATTCAAAACTTTTTCCTAGTTAATATTAAAATTGAAGAAAAAAGCATGAGTTTTACTATTTTGCATGGCTTAAAACTAACTCGATAAATAATGCCATATTCGATGGTCAGTTTAGCGAATATTCAAGCAGTAATGGTATATATATAAAGAGCTTAATACTATAATACGCGCGGGCAGCTCGCATAAGACCTATAGTACCGCAGGAGCCAAGGCCCGAGCCATTGTCGCTGTTTATTAAATCTCTGCGCACCATACGGTATCTATATAGCGTTACATGCATGGTCTTAACTGTATAAACACCAAACGTATTAGCTTCCGAAGTGTTTGACGCATTTTTGCGTGACTTCGTTTTGAAAGTTTGGCTTAAATCGACACGTACGTATACCGTTTAAAGCTGACAGCTTCGATAAAACTAAAAAAAAATAGAAAAAAAGCTACGTTGATTATTATGTGACTGGAATATATCCAACACTGGCTAGCCTCGTAAACGGTTTTCACTTTTTTACTGGGAGTGCATATTGCATTGTATTTCTAAAACTATAAATGAAATTTAATAATTGCTAACTTTGTGTACACTATCGTCGAGTGAGCACGCGTGAATGTGTGCGTGCGTGCATGTAGCGGCGACGTCTGCAGTGCATTCGCCGTTTGGTACATATATATTGCCATTGTTTTTCATTGTTCGCATGAGCACGCGCTAAACTACGCTATGTTGTGTATCTCATCTTTGTTTACTATATATAGTTGCCGCGTGCGTCGAGAGAGCGAGACAGGGAGAATGAGAAAGAGCTTCGTCCGCCGCTATATAGCCTATTCCAACGTGCGTGTAAAAATTGAAGTTTAATTGAAAAAGTTTTTCAATCTATGTTTACTCGGCGACACTTTTTTTTCCCATTGTATATATCTTATATTTATTTATTTATCTCTTGCTTTTCATATAAACTGAACGAGGTATGTTTCTATTCAAGTATTACTCATTTCTATTAATATTTATTGCGTTTTCGAGGTCAAAAATGGAGATTTGCAAGATAAAGTTTTTGTTCATTTAAAATTATTTGCATATATTCAAATCTACCAGAAGTTTTGAAAATACCGTTTTCCACTGACAGGTTTTTGACTTTTGAAAATTCAATATTTACATGTTTATACCTAGTAAACAATTCAACATAAAGCAGTTGCTTAAAGTATAAATATTCATTTTACCTACTAAATTCTCTACAATTTCAGTCATCATTTTTGAGGGCTCGATAATTACTGTGTTCAAAAAAGTATAGTTCAATCAACATTGAACCATTGACATCGGTTCAATTTTGAAAGCTCGGTGACTAACCAGCTTTCAAAATTAACTAAAGTCTTTAGGTTAGGTTTTAACTTTAATTTAGGGTTTTGTTTAATTCATTGCGTGAGAGTACTTTGAAAAAAATAAAGTTCTTGCATAATTATCATATGATCTGCACAATTGGATCAATTTATTTTGCTCTATTGTAAAGTGACATCAAATTATAATATTGCAATCATTCAATAGTCGGGTAATAAAAATTTGTTTGGTCCACTTTTTTTAACGTGATAATTCAAGAGATAAAGAAAGCAGGCTGAATTTGATAATTCTCAAAGACATTTTCCAGGATTTCCATTGAATATTTTTCTGGAAGGCTATGTGAATTTCTAAGAACCAGCCAAATCAAGACATCTGAGAACTTTTACAAAAAGTATTCAATGAAAATTTCGGAAAAGTATTTAAAAAAATCGTGTTAGCCCGACTTCGATATAATTAAAAGGTAGTTTAATTTAAAACCAACATCAATGCATATGATAAGAACGTGGAAAAAGTCTCTCTGCGTTCCAATAATGCCTCTCGTGCAGATAATTCACAGTATTTTTCAAAATTTTAAGACGTTATATAAATCCGGCGTACAGTTCAGGAATGGATGTGAAATTAATAGCGTATGTACGTATGGTGAAACATGTCTTTGAAAAGTGATAGTGTTAATAACTTGAATGGGTATGAAAATGACGAGAGATACTCTAAAAATTAGTACTATAATTACTCGAGATCTTAAAATCTTTGTAGCGCCGTCCAGAGAACCGTTGAAAAAGACCTCACTGAAGAGATTTACAAGTGAAATTTTTCCATTCGCGAGTGTACATTTTCACTCGGGCGTCGCAAGCACGTTCGCAGAAATAAAGCTCCTTTCAAAGCCGTTTCCATACATACATATACCGTACACGTGAAATAATATAAGGACTCGAGTCGTGCAGACTCGTGCAGACGGTAGTGCGCAGCAGCAGCAGCAGCGGCAAGGTGCACCAAAGTGCCTAAACGCCCTGCGATAACAGCTCTGCGAGAGCTACCTCGTCCGCACGAGTCTCGTGCGCCGCGCACGACTCGCAACGAGCAATTGATATCATAAATTTTCTGATTAATTTTGCGACGCGTTGGGCGTTTATTAGAGGCATATAGCTTTTACCTCGTTAGACGAGCATATATATACACGTATAAATCTTGTGTACGTAACGAATGGTGCACGACGATGATGGGGAAACTCGTTTATTGGTATATTTACGACGGGCAAATTGAAAGACCACCATTGAGCTAGATAATGTACATATATTTCAAACGCTGAAAGGAAAATTCGATCGCATTTGACTTGACTTTTTTGTTTAAACGTGCGGCGCTTTGTGCTACGACGTCGGTATCCAAGCACGCACGTGACCTCGCACACACGGGATTGATAAAATATTTGCCCCCTCGACACCAGTCCAGCTCTCGGCTCCCAAAGAAAATATCCAGGCAATATATTATATATGTGCCGCCGTGAAGTCGAGTGTGTGCGGGATCTATCGCTTTTATTATCACTCGATATAATAATAAAGCTCAAAGTACGTAATCCACTTACTTTACGATGTAAATGTAAGCGCAAAGCAAACAAACGTCACGGGCTCACACCGGCGTCATTGTATACGCGTTTAAATATTTTTTACGCGTTCCCCCCTTGGGCGTAAATACAATTTCGAAGCTCTCGTCTCCGTACTGCCTCTCTCGCTCTCTTACTCGTATTACGTATTATAACCTGGCACCTCGTCCCTGCGTATTATATACCGAAGAACTCGAAGGCGCTGAATAGGCAGTTCTCGGTGTAAAGCAGCTCCAATGCATTAAATCTGCCTCGAGAACTTATGAGGACGAAACAACTTTGCCGGTATACATAAGAGGACACCAGCTTGCGCATACACACACACACACACACACGTATTTCGTGCGAGTGTGTGCGAATGTATGTCTCCATGTGGATCGATAAAATCCACATTTCCACTTTCAGCTCTGGCCTGCCCATCCCAGAAAGAGAAAGGAGAGCTTGCGAGTTTATGATAGATTTATTCTGAGAGATTTGCCCCCTCTCTATGTCTTTTTCTAGTACGCAGGCCAGAGTCTTCGATTCGTTATGTATGAAGCGGATACTCCGTTAATGTTGTATATAATATGAGCTTATTATATTTTCGTACCTTAAGTTGTTTTAAATATTGTTCGCCATGCGAATTTAGGATATGCTAAAATATACGCATGCTAAAATATGAGTGGTATGGTTATAGTTGAAGAATAAAAATTGTCTAATGGATCATTTTTGAAGTTTGATAACTATCAGACGGAATAAAAATACTAATTTCATAGCAATACTCAACAATTATTTAATGCTTTTGTTTACGTGAAATTTTCTCGTCAATTATTATGATTTTTCTAATTAATAAATAATTCAGTGTGCATTGTAGAAATGAATATTGTGATTGTGAAGTGTTATGTAATCGACTCGATAGTTCATATTAATTTTGAAGTTACAACGGTGACTTTGTTTGTGAATTGTGAATTGTACAAGTATAAGCTTATGACTAATGAGAAACGATATTCCTGATAGAAATGTTCAACATTAACAATGGTCTGTTGACTAAAAAATTACAATTTTTAAATGCTAAGCACATTTTAAAATGACCTGAAATGATAATTCAATTGTCTTAAAAAATTTATACCAGTTTTCAATCACTTTAAATGCTACAATATCAGTTTTATTTTCTATCACTAGATGGTGAGTAGCGGTATATTGAAATCTGCAAGTGACAAAGAAAACAGTTGTATATAAGTCAGTCATATTCATTGATCTTGACTTGATTCCTCGTTTTTCGTCTTTTTTGTATTGTTTTCTACAAGTAGAGCCTAAAGCAATTTGGGCATTTGTTTATAGATAATATTTGATTTATAAGCATTCATATAATAATAATATTAATTATTGTTATATAATAACGAATTTTTATATGCATTCTAAGTATACTATTAGGGTTCATAGGCCGTATAACAGTATAGGCTAAAGACGCCCGTATCGCATCTTTGCTTTCAAAATGAGCAAAAATAGTAACAAAAGTTAAAAAGATGAATGAAAAGAGATTGTAAAAGATATTTTATCGGCTAATGTGACGAGTAAGAAAACTTGGCGGCAAATAAGGTTTTTCGACATATCCGAAATACAAAATTAGAGAGATTCTATCGTTACGATCAGTGACAAACGAGCGGTCTAATTCCGGTAGACAAGGATTTTTCATGTGTAATTGTACAACATCTTGCCACTCAAATAGGTGATTGTGCCGAAAATTATTTTTAAAACTTTTAAGAACTTGCTTAACTTTTTTAGAAATTGCGGTTATTGCCTAAATTCTTAGGATAAAGCAGCAATGCCTAGGTAAAAGCGGTTTTTGCCTAATTGTTACTTTTGCCGGTAACATGTATTTTCCATTTATAACAGTATTCGGTAAACTCCTCCGTCATAAAGGTTTAAACATTTCTATCTATATGATTTTTAATTTTACATTATAACTCAATCGTAATATTACTCAGTATTCGTGGTAAAGATAAACGTCCAAAAAAGTATTGTAATTCCAACTTCGCGGGGTGCAAAGCCAAATTGTCGGAATACAGGTTATATAACGCGTACTTATCACCGCGTGCAGGCGATATGTGCAATTAAGTATACATAAATACTGCAGCTGTTCGCTAGGCGCTACAGGAGCTCATAATACGAAACTCTCACGCGCAGAGCCGGTCTGTGGCTGACGAACGAGGCACGCCAGGAATGTTCCTTACACACTGCTCGCTCGCAAGTCGGGAGCAGCAGCAGCAGTAGCAGTAACAGCTTTCTGAAATTTACCCAGGCCAAAAATTTATGCCGTGCTCGCTGTTGGAATTTCCACAATGAGAGGCGTACGGCGCGAGCTCTAACCGAAAAGCCCCTTGCGATCGATCGCGAGCGAGCTGCAGAGCTAAGTGATTTTTCTTCGATCTGAAAAATCCCTTATTAATTGCCACGAACCTATATATGGGCTAGTCCGATTGTGCGCTGTGCGTCGTGGAATTTAATATTCATTGAAGCGCTCGGCCCATAAGTTACTTCTTCAATGAGAAAACGCTATACCTGGAAAATCTAATGAAATAATGAGTCCTATAAATTATCCAGGCTGCACTTTCTTGGTAATAATTTTGCGAACATTTTTTCGATGCTTGCAGGCTGCGCGGTAAGAATGTCGAGGCATCGCCAGGGCATCGAGCAGCAGCAGCAGCGGCGACATCATCCAACTTCACAAGCTGCACGATGCAGCAGCACAGAACATCGGCTCTGGCGACGCTGGTCCACCGCTCAGGCGCTCTGGCTCCTTCTGCTCGCCCTCGCGGGCGGCGCCCTCGGCTCGCCCTCGCATCGAGGTAGACACCACGCGGCGACGGACTTCGACTTGCAGCAGCTGCAGCACCCGTTGCTGCCGGAGCCGGCCCTGCTGGTCAGCGGTAGCGGCAGTGGCAGCGGTGACGGGGCGGCGGCGGCGGCGGCGGCAGCCGAGGGGCCCGTTGCTCCACCGGCTGCCGCGGCCGGAGCCGTCCCGGCCACGTCGACGACCGATCCGGGCCCGTCGCCCGCGGCCGAGCAGCTGCCCAGACCCGAGCACCTCGACAACGAGCCGCTCATCGTCCAGACGAAGAAGGGACGCGTCAAGGGCAAGACCCTCATCGCCAAAACGGGCAAGCAGGTCGACTCCTGGTTCGGTATACCCTACGCACAGAAGCCAATCGGTAAGAGCTCTCGTACATTATAATAATACATAGCGCGACAATCACGAGTCTGGGCGCCTTTGTGCTTTGTAGATAGATACACGCTATATAATCACACGCAGCGCTATTATATGAACGATCCAATAATACGCTTCATTTAATTTCTGATCGATGCGGAGCTTACGGATTAATTTTCACTGTGCCGCTCGCTTTTATATATAGACGCGACGATCGGGTTCGACGGGCGGCTGCTGCAGCAGAACTTTCCGCACGGCAAATTTATCACCTATAAGTCGCGTGCTTGATAAAACTCGTTCTATCAACTGTAAACTATATTATGCCTTCTATATAGCCGAAAGAACTCGGGGGCCAGTATCACGACTGGGGAACTTTGCCGCGCGCGCGCGCTTGGACTTTTTTTTTCATACACGTACATCTGGGATAATAAAAACTTTCCTAAGCTCTAAGACACTGACGCTCGCGCCCAGTTGGCAGAATAACTTCTTTTTTTATCTTTCTCTCTGGCACTTTTTTTCGTCTACGTCGCTGTGAACTTTTGTTTGCGAGCAAGAGAGAAAAAAAACATTTTTTTTATCATTGCCAGAGCTTTATCGAAATTTCGCCGCCACCAACGCCGCCACGCGACGTTACATTTCCAAAGTTTTTCCGAAACATTCGATTTTAATTGTCTTCGCTCGAGCGCAACACACGACGTCGTCGCGATCGCTTCGAAAAGTCATTTCTTAATGGACGACGAGGCGCGCCGGCCAGTTGAAAACTTCGTTCGTTTATTTTTATGCGTGTCTCGTACTTGTATGTAGGTGACTTGAGGTTTAGACATCCCAGGCCGCCGGACGCGTGGGAGGGCGTGCTGAACGCCACCAGTCCACCCAACAGCTGCGTACAAATTCTCGACACGGTTTTCGGCGATTTCGCCGGCGCCATGATGTGGAATCCCAACACGCCTCTGAGCGAGGACTGCCTCTACGTGAACGTCGTCGTGCCGAGACCGAGGCCGACTAATGCCGCTGTCATGGTATGGATATTCGGCGGTGAGTTCTCTCTCTCTTCTCTGCCTTTTCGCTCTTTCTACCTCCCTCTAGGGGATAATAATTCTACCGACGCCTCTTTATCTTCGTGCACATTGCACCTGTATTAAAAAAAAAAAAAAACTTTGGTCATTGCGGACACAGGTGGATTCTATTCGGGCACGGCGACGCTGGACGTGTACGATCATCGCACGCTGGTGAGCGAGGAGAACGTGATCCTCGTGTCGATGCAGTATCGCGTGGCGAGCCTTGGCTTCCTGTACTTCGGCACGTCGGACGTGCCGGGCAACGCCGGCCTCTTCGACCAGCTGATGGCGCTGCAGTGGGTGCGCGACAACATCGCCGCGTTCGGCGGCAATCCCGACAACGTCACGCTCTTCGGCGAAAGCGCCGGTGCCGTGTCCGTATCCATGCATCTGCTCTCGCCACTGTCGAGGTATTCATATTGCCTATTACACTTTTATTGGTCGTTGATGAAAAGTAAAATGATGGATTAAAAATTTTTTGAAACTTTTGGGCCTTGCGATTAGTTATTGGGGTTGTCGTGAAGGATAAATTGATACATCGTGTAAAAATTCAACTTGATTTCTCTCTCTCTCTTAAAAAAGTAATAGCCTGATCGTTTCGTCGCAGTGAACACTTTGTGCACGACGGAAGAGTGAATTTGCGTTCGTAATATGAACTCATACATGTGGCGCGGGGATGTACTTACGGTACGAAGTTAATCAGAGTCGAATAATAATTGCAAAATAATACATTATATGGTATGAGTTATAATTATCATTATTTGCTTTTTTATCTATGACCACAATTGCAGCTGTGCAATCATCAGCGGATGAAAATCAGTTTAAGAGTCCTCTATACACACTCGGTCGGTAACTATATTCGCGTATTTTGTACCCATTTTTTTCATTTAGTATACAACCTATGGTCTTGAAATTTTGTGGGAGTGATCATGAAACTAATACAAATGTGCCTATGAAGCTATTTTTTCAGATAGTTGAAAAAAAAAATTGTTACAATATTTATATGAAAAAATAGCTTCATAGGCACATTTGTATTAGTTTCCTGATCACCCCCACAAAATTTCAAGACTAATGGTTGAATAGAAAATAAAAAAAATGAGTACAAAATACACGAATTAGTTACCGACTACAGTGTGTATAGAGAAGCCAACCTGCAAAGTTTGGAAACTATTCTTGCTTCATGGCAAGAATTTTGTTTTTATTTTAGAAAATTTTATTTTATTCTAGAAAGGTAAAAAAAGGTTTTTCACAATAAGAACATAATTAATTGCAGTTTGAAGTATTTTATTATTTATTAAAAGAATAACGGATCGTACAGAATAAAATATTCGTGTGAAGGATTTTTTTTAATTTCGTAGTATACTCATGCTATTATAGAAGTCTTTAACATGTCCAAGCGTTTCCAAACAAATATCACGTTTCTAGAGTTTGCTTCGATCATGTACTGCATTTATGTGCCTTTTGAGTATACTCTGGTATCCAAATGATTTGCGACAAAATTCACATTGGAAGGGTTTGCTACGATCATGAATTGCCTTCACGTGATTTTTTAGGTCATATTTACGATTAAATGATTTGTGACATATATCACATTCAAAAGGTTTGTCATGATTGTGTACTGCATTTATGTGCTTATTCCGGTTACTCTTGCATCCAAATGATTTGTGGCAAACCTCACACTCGAAGGGTTTGCTTCGATTATGTACTCCATTTATGTGATATTTGAGGTGATGTTTAAGTCCAAATGATTTGTGACAAATGTCACATTCAAAAGGTTTGTTACGATTATGTATTGCATTTATGTGACGTTGCAGGTTACTTTTTTGTCCAAATGATTTGTGGCAAATTTCACAGTCAAATGATCTAATGCTCTTATGCGTCGTATATCTTTTTAGATTTGATTTTTTCGTATAAATTTTTCGATAAATATTATTTTTATCAGATACTTTATTTTGATTGCTTTTAACAAAATTTTCCACTTTTTTATATTCACTACGATTCCATCGGAAATTGAGTGGAAATTGACAATTATTATCGTAATCAAATTCCTTTCTTATCAAAATTACTACATTTTTTCCATGCAAGTCATCTGTCTGATTTTCGTCTTCTATTTTAACGTTCTGGTATTCAGTTTTATAGATGGTCGTCGAAAAAGACTTTGGTTCAAGTTTAACATACTTACACTCCACATCTATAAGTATTTTTTCATCTAATTTTTCCTGTGACGCCATAACCTCATTTATGTAATTAGCCTAAAATTAAAGTTGTGTTATAGTTTTTGACAGTAGAAAATTAGAAGATAATTCAAATTATTCAACTCACTGATGATTGATAAAAATTAAATGTTTTAAAGTTTTTTGCTTCACAAGAGTCCACCAAATCTAAAATATAATCTTCACCTGGATTCAGCCAGGTAACGTTCGGCTCTTCCTTCACCCTGAAGAATAGTTAAGTTTGATATTGATCAAGTTTGAATAAATATAATGGCATTCGGGTTAAAGAGGTTTTACCTTACTGTGTCCTCTTTGCTTTCCATATTTCCGTGATTATATGTAATAACTGTAATTTTTTATGATTATTCACGCCTTGAAAATATTCGAGGTTATACGCCTCAAGTAGTTAACATTGAACCTCGAATTTACCAATTGGTAAACACTTGCTCCGGAATTTAGCTCTTCGTCAGCGACTGAAAACACTGTATGCTGGTATATATTAGCGAAGTGATCCCGCGATTGTAATAGCTCCTTCTCGATACATTACCCTTCAACCATCGATATAATTATAGTACTTTATGCTACGAACGGGGATAAGCTTTTTCTGCAAAACGAGTAATTGTAGCACGAGCCGAAGGCAAGTGCCATCCAGAGTAGATACTAGATAGTATAGATGAGCTGCTACGCTCTTGTATTTGTAGCTAAAAGAGAAGCGCTAATCGATCATTTTCATTTAAATATGATCAGATAATTCCGATAATTTTTATGGATTTCTTGCGCACCCAATTGTCAGTAAATTTCAAAAAAATGATAAAAAACTTTTTTAAAATTAAAAATAATTTTAAGAATAAAAATAATGTTTGGCGTTAATATTCATTCGTTTAGAGTTTTCGGAATCGCTAAAATAATTGCTTTACCGTGTAATATATCAATGTATTTAAGATATTAATTGATATAAAATATAATTTTGCACACTTTACAATGGTAAGACTTTGTTTTATAATGCACCGCATCGATGTAATTCTTGAATGTATAAATTCAAATTTTAATTTATTAATTGGTATTAGATAGCTATAACTGAGTTTTATAGACGTTTCCGATTTTGGGAAACGAAAAATAACATTTTCAATTAAATTTCGACTATTATATAAGATATTTTCATTTAATTTAAAACTTGACGTTAGCCAAGACACAAAGTGTAAACAAAGTATTTTTTACGAGATATATTTGAATTTTATTATAGGTACGATTCCCAAGAGATTTCCCAGCGCTTTTTACAATCCTTGCAACCATAAAAGAAATTAAATGAGACCGAAAAGTACTTTTTACGCTGTAGCCTCGAAAATCTCCACACTTACGCGAGATGCTCCTCGAATCTCTCCGAGCGAGTGGTTACGCAAGGTGTACATATATTTCACACATCGCACGTAGTACACATCTTGAGGGGCTGCAAAATCGATGCGGCGCACGAGTGCAGCTGCGAGCGCGTAATCTCCGTAGAAAGCCTCAGCCGCATCGAATCTCGTATCTCATCAGCTTAAGTAAACGTGCTGCGGCGCTTCTCGTCGGCGCATCGTATATATTATATATATTGTGTATGGGCGATCGCGAGGCACGCGTCAAAAGCCCATCTCTCTCTCGCTCGCTCTCGAGTGTCCGATACGCTCGAGCGATAATAGCGCATCGACACCGTGGCCGATGCTCTCGCTCCTCGATGATGTATTATCCATCTCTCGCTCAATCTCCGATATATATACACGTATATTATAATGCAGACGGGGGTGTGTTTGTGTGTTTATAGGCCACTGTTCCATCAAGCGATAATGCAGTCGGGCTCGGCGACGGCCCCCTGGGCCGTGATATCGCGCGAGGAGTCGATAATGCGCGGTCTGCGGCTCGCCGAGGCCGTGGGCTGTCCGCACGACAAGCGCCAGCTGCGCGAGGTCATCAATTGTCTCATCACCAAGGACCCGGTCGAGCTCGTCAACAGCGAGTGGGGCACCCTCGGCATCTGCGAGTTCCCCTTCGTGCCGGTCATCGACGGCTCGTTCCTCGACGAGACGCCGGCGCGCTCCATGTCCAGCGAGTCCTTCAAGAAGGCCAACATACTCATGGGCTCCAACACCGAGGAGGGCTTCTACTTCATCATCTACTATCTCACCGAGCTGTTCAGGATCGACGGCAAGGAGGACGTCAAGGTGTCGAGGGACGAGTTCGTGCGGGCGGTGAGCGAGCTCAATCCCTACGTGAATCAGATCGGCCGCTACGCCATCATCTACGAGTACACGGACTGGCTCAAGCCCGACGATCCCGACGCCAACAGGAACGCCCTCGATAAGATCGTGGGCGACTATCACTTCACGTGTAACGTCAATGAGTTCGCCACGAGGTACGCCGAGACTGGAAACAAAGTTTACATGTACTACTACACGCATAGGTGAGTATAAGGACGACAAGGAACTCGAGGATGAATGAGGAAAAGATTTTGATTATAACCGACGTTTTCACACAGGTCTGTGAATAATCCATGGCCAAGGTGGACCGGGGTCATGCACGCCGACGAAATCAGCTATATCTTCGGCGAGCCCCTGGATACGGCAAAAGGCTACACGCACGAGGAGATCACATTATCCAAGAGGATGATGAGATACTGGGCAAACTTTGCCAAAACTGGGTAAGAGAGAGACTCGCTGCTACTTTTGCCCTGGTTTTTTTTTTTTTTTTTTTTACAACAACAACATGCTCGTTGTTGTTGCTGTTATTTTTGCTGCCGTTGTAGCAGCTGTTTCGCATGAAAAATGAATGCTGAATTTTCCGAGGAGTATTTTTACCAATTTCAGTTTACGGTGCATATACCTTGGCTAACTAAAATTTGTTTCTTTCTTTTTGCGGACGGAGCTTGCCGGTATATACGTTTTTAGCATATTTCGCGGCTCCTCGGGCATATTTAACGCGGCGCGCGTATAGTCTGGGGAAGAAAAAAATAATTCCTCCAGCGCTTTTGCGTTGGAAAGTTTTTTTCGCGGTTATAAATATACAGAACTCACCAGACAGAAGAAACTTAGCCGAGCCATATTATTTTTTGACGATGCCCCGACGTGTTACATAAATTGCAAAAGTTTTTCTTTTTTTTTGTGTGCAAGCGAATCTCGAGCACTTCGCGTTATAATATAATATATATTCATATAAGAAAAGAACATGGCAGAGATAAAGCAGAGAAGAAAACAGAAACGAAATATTTATATTGCGGATTGTTGTTAATCAAGTGATCCGAATCTGGGCGACGATGGCTCATCCTGGACGGAGACGACTTGGCCGGTGCACACGGCCGAGAAGAAGGAGTATCTGCAGCTCGACACGAACACGACGCAGATTGGCTACGGGCCACGATCGAAGCAGTGCGCCTTCTGGAAGAAATATCTGCCCCAGCTGCTTACTGCGACCGGTAAGTGTGTCTCTCTTTCTCCTCCTCTCTCGTTTTTATGAACTTTGCTTATTTCAACTTTTACTTCATCGTCCCGAGGTATACACCTCGAAGGGAAAAGAATCGGAGAAAAAACTTTTCGCGACATAATTCAATCAAACTTTTGGCCGTGTATAAATCTCGCGCCGGCGACTTTCGTTCGGGATAATCTTTTAATTAAGCTCGCCCCGTGCAATTGAACTGTAGGAATCTATTAGCTCGAATGAGGTGGCCTTGAAATCGAGCGACGGCTTACCCCCCGGACTTACTCGATCGTGAATCAATAATCACCGGGGATAAGTAAATCGCAGCCTTTGCTAGAGACAGGCTCTGCATTCCCCTGTACTCGGATCAATTTGTCAATTGCCTCTAGGTTTTCTTTCTCTTTATCTGTTCTCACTTTCTCTGCGTGTCGTGTATACATATATAGGCCGCGTTTAGTTGAGAAGGGAGCAAAGGTGTGGGTGACACCTGTTGAGTCGTAAGTGCATTCGGCGCTAACACACTCAGAAATACACATACTCACATACACACACATTCACACACACGTAGCCACACCGCAGCGCGACTCGACTCTCAAGGGCCTCGGATTTATTGTCTTTGTACTCGATTTTCGAGAGCCTCAAAGACAAGTAGTATGTGATTTTCTCTCTCTTGGCATTGCGCTAGCTTACACACGTACGTACACCTGCCCTGTCTGTATAACACGATCCTGTATCGTGTAACTGCATACGCAGCTACCCCGAATCCGATTCGGAAGATTAATTTTATCATCTGAATTCGACGTTTGACGTTTTGTTTGTATACACCATTCGTCACTTTTATCTCGTTCGCAGCGCTGCAGTACAGCCTCCCTCGCATCGTCGGAGATAAAGGATCTGAAATTGAAAATTTTACGTGGAAAAAAAATGCAAATCGAATGTACGTGCTTCGAAAATAAACAAAAAAAAAGTAGAATGTAACGGCTCTTTGTTAGTTAAATATTGGCTCAACAAATAAAGTGCGACTGTTTTCGCTAGATAAGATTGCATATTGGAAAAATTTGTATACTTTGCTAAAGCTTATCTACCGTATATATTTTCATCGATATATATATATTTTTGGCGATTGGCACTGCAAAATTTCCAATTCATGAATGCAAAAATATGTGCCAATGCACGGCCAATGAATTCGAATTTTTATTATTACTTACGCGCGCAAATATTCTTTAATTAGTTACACTTAATGGTCTCATCGGAGGTTTTCTTTCTGGTTCTACGATAGCTTGTAAAAGTCAGCACAATCTTGACTTTATGATATCTATGTCTCTTTAGCGGAAAAAAAGCAAGGAAAAAAGAAAGAATACTCGGGGCCATCAGAGCTAGGATGGAAAAAGGAGTGCCACGAGAGAACAGAAGGAATGAAAAGAGACGTCAAGAGAGAAGCTAGCTAGTGAAATGCAATTTCCCGTGTGCGAACGGTAATACAAGAGAAAGAGAGCAAAACAACGAAAAGAAAATCCCCGAAGCATTTGTCGTCCGAGGAAAAGGAGAAACGGAAGACGAAACGATCGAGGCGACAAAAACAAAACAAAGGGTTACATGATTTATTCAGTAGTTATTGACATATCTATACATGGCCAAGCATCAGCAGCAGATGATGATGTATATACGAAGAAAGGCGGAAAAAATTGGCAAAAAAAACACAAAGTATCGAGGCGAAACTACTATATACGAAAATTTTTTTTGAATAAATCGATTTATTGAACAGTTTAAGAAAACGTGCATACACACGACTCTCTCTATGCGTGCTGCTATCGTACTTTTTCAGTCGAAAATTTTCTTTGCTGAGAAGACGAGTCTCTCTCGAGTCGAGAAGATATCTTTCGAGAGAAAAGTCTTGCAGTCGCCGTCGCACGGACTGACGTCGACGAGTGACAATGGAGCTTTAATGCTCTCTAAACAACGCACAGTCGACGCGTGTATTATCCTGCAACACTGCAGGAAATACCACTGCTATGCTTTTTGCCGCGTGCTACTTACACTCGCCTAGTAGTGAGTGAGAGAGAAGCTCAGCCTGGATACAGAAGCAAATAATTATACCGACTTTGCCCCGACGCTGCAGTTTCTCTCTTGCGCTCGTCGAGCGGCATGTATTATACACTTGTGTAAACAGACCCCGCGATGAGAGAGAGATAGAGAGAAAGACAGACGCGTATGTATTTCGACGCTGCGCTGCAACGAGAGAGATACGTAGTATAGTATGTACGTCGTACATCGTGTGCAGTGCGCGATGCGTATGTAGCTGTGTGCGCGAGCCACGCTCGTCTAAAAGCCAAAATGCCGAGGAAAATACACCCGAGCTACTACTGCTACACTACTGCTGCTGCAGCAGTGGTATGTATGTCAGCCAAGATTGTTTTCAGAGACTCAAATGGACTGAATTGTCGGAGATATATATTATATATACCTATACACGCGTACGTATACTCGCGCAAGTCGTTAAGTAGTCGTTACACGAGCAATTAAACGAAAAATAATTAAAAAATTTTATGACTCGTAATCGCGATCGTATGTAGCTCTTGGCCGTCGCTCTTTTTTTTTTTTTTGGTCTATCGGGTGGATTCGAGAAGCTCGGAGTGGCTTCTTTATTACGCGAGCTTTTCTATCGTTAATTAAGCTCTCTCTCGCTCTCGCTTCTACAGTCACTTCAAGTTGGGAGACTTTTGCTCGATAAAGGGCCGTGCCGCTAACAATGCGGCGAGATCTCGGCCCCGAGATATTGCGCGCGATCATCGACGCGCAGCGAAGCGGCTAATTAATCACTTGCGCCTCGCGTATTATACGTACTATTATATATGGGTAAGGCTCAGAATTTTTTAAATAAACCTGCGCTCGTATGTCACCGATCTTGACGCGCTTTTGGTATGTTATAGTACATGGTAAAAAAGACCCAAAACCAAAATTTTAGACCCCCTCCCCCCTCCTACCCCCCACTTCCGGTATAAACGTCCATTTTCTATCTATATTTTTTCTGAAGGCCTGAAGCAATTAAAAAATCTGAAAAAATTCACAAAAATACTTTTCAACAATCCAAACAATCTTGAATTTTTTCAGATTTTTTGAGTGCTTCAGGCCTTCAGAAAAAATTATTGAAAATTTTGAAAATTCATATACGGCGCTACGATGCAATACAAAGCCCGATCTTTTTTTCCACTTATTTTTGACATCAAAATACATAACCTCAAATTTTTTCAGATTTTTTCAGACAGAGCGCTGGCGGTTTTTAGCCGAAAAACGCCCTTTTTTTACGAAAATAATTTTTTTAGGGCGATATGAAGCTTTAAAAAATCTGGAAAAATTTTTTTCTTGTTTTTCAGGTCAAAATACATAACCTTGAATTTTTTCAAATTTTTTAATTGAAGGCGATAGCATCTATGGCTGAAAAACGCTATTTTTATGAAAAACGGTTCCTGGAACCCAGAGGTTCCGGTAAAAAAATTTGAAAAATTTTTTTTCGAATTCCTTGTCAAATTTTAATAAATTTTGACCGTCGCAAAATTTCGATTGGAGCCTCCTAGCTCATTCTAGAGCATAACAAAGATTCGAGTGAAATTCTGAAGACATCTGAAAAATAATGTAAATTTGATGACTGTCGCGTGAAAAATGCACAAAAAACACGTAAAAATAGGGCCTTTTAAAAATTGTGGTAAATGTGGGGGAGCTATGGCAATCTGGTGTGGAGACCCTTACAACTATATAGTAATAGATATATACGCGGGCTATAAAATGAGGGTATATGCATTTTATCGGATACTTTTCTTCTCAATTTTATTGTAATGTGCGCGCGCGCGTATTCAAAACTACGTACAGTAGAAGCCGCTTATAAGAATCACGATGGGACCAGACGTTTTGATTCGTATAAACGGCTGATTCAATTAAACGATGCAGTAAGAAATTGTAAATATTAATAAAAAAAAAACGTTTATAGGTTTGTCAAATTTAACCGTTTTTCAAATTTTATTACGCGTCAATGGAATACTTATTGCTTGGAGGAAGCTACTACAAAAAATTCATCAATTTTTGATTGCTTCTTATTAGTGCGGACTATTTTTTGAACGACTTTAAGAATTTTCTCAACATCTTCGTCTTTTCCACACCTTTTTCTTTTACGATTTAAACTTCCGTTTTCAATGTTAGCCGCTTCTAGGTCATGACGATTTTTCAAAATCCTATTGAGTTGCGTCTGTGAAACTTCTAATTTTGCTGCTGCTTCACGTTGACTGCACTTTTCGAACAAGTCGTAGTGTTTTAGTAACTCTTTCTTCTGGAGCAACGTTAAATCTTTTCTAGGCATGGTGAATTTCGAATTTTATATTTGTTTACTTGATGACGGTTCAATATCGTTTGATTCGTATAAACGGGTTTTGATTCCATTATACTGAAATCGGGACTTTTAATTAACATGTAAAAGTATAGAGGGAAATCGGGACCAAGCGTTTTGATTCGTATAAACGGCGGATTCGATTAAGCGAGATTCATATAAGCGGCATCTACTGTATATACTTCTTTTAAGTGGGGAAAAGCCGCCCATGTAATGTACTACTACTACTCCTTATGATAGAGAGAGAGAGAGACATACACGCGCGGATGGATCTTGAACGTGACAAAGACGAAATTTACCGTCGTCGAGTCTCTCTCGCTCTCTGTCTCCGTTTCAACGATGCTTTTAGTATAATCACCAGGCGAGCGCAACTTCGCATAAAGAGCCTCTTTCGTGGATGATTACATGCCGCTGCTGCTATACCGCTACTTCTACACTGCCGCAGGATGCATCGCATGCACCTTTCCATCCTCTCTCTGTTATACTCGACTCAACTTCGCAGCTTGCAAAAAAATGCCAAATCATATTTATATCGCGCAGTTATTATAGTCTAGACACGCTGGAATATCAATTTTTATGCGGAACTATATATAATGGAACTCGGCTCGCTCGCGTGAATC